AATGAAAGCCGTATGCTCTGAAGGTCAGTATTGCCTAAACATTGCGATGTTTGATCTTATTTCAGTGACAGTTAAAAAAAAAACATCTCACAGCCCCCACTGTGATGTGGTGCGGACCTGTGCGCCTGAGTAGGGTGCAAGCTTCCCCTGGACGTGGCTTCAACCAGCAATGGCCAATTCGTGTGGCACGCCGATCCACCTGTGGATCTTTAAAAAAATAATGTTTTTCTTCCGTGGGTGTCAGGACAAATCAGAACAAGCACTGACATAAGCAGACAACGACTCTCGTTAAGCACATGAGGTGTATATATATATAACACCGACATAAAAAAGAGGTTATACTGGTAGGAACCACCTTGTTACACCAGCCCACAGGATATTATTGTGTCCGTCCGTCGTGAATCCAAAAATGGGAGGGGTGGGGCTGGGTGTAGAAGGGTGGGTGGGGAGGGGCTGGGTGGGGAGGGAAGGGTGGGGAGGGGCTGGGTGGGGAGAGGCTGGGTGGGGAGGGTGGGGCTGGGTGGGGGGTGGGAGGGGTGGGGCTGGGTGGGGGGTGGGAGGGGTGGGGCTGGGTGGGGAGGGGCTGGTCACCCCGTGGTGCCCTTAGAAAATTTAACGTTTAACCTACTCACGCCGGCTTGTGCCCGCCCTCACAGTCGGCCATATTTGCGGAATACACCACGCCGCCGTTGACCCTGGCCATTGACCGAGCAACCCAACGTTCCTACCAGCTCCCTCCGCAGGACAATGTGTTGTTGAAAGTGGCAGAGTGACGCTTTTCCCCGCAATTTATTTTCGACCGTGTGGGCGGAAAGCTGCGGTTTTATAGTTCCGTAGAAGGGAAGTAATAAAATAATAAAAATAAAACATAGTAAATTATTCTCACGACGTTTCGGCCACAACGCAAGCAGCCATCATCAGGTGAAGAATGAAACACCACCAAGCTGAGGACGGCTGCTTGCGTTGTGGCCGAAACGTCGTGATAATTATTTTATTATGTTTTATTTTTATTATTTTATTACTTCCCTTCTACGTGACTTTACCGAAAGAACCAAGAAGATGAATCCCTGCAGTCACGAAAGCTTTAAATCGAAATTTGGTTTTATAGTTGGTCTGATGTTTTTCAGACTTTTAATAGTTCGACCGCTACGGGATCATCCTGAGTATGGCACGTCAGGTTTGAAGCTTTCGTGACTGCAAGGATTCATACTCTATGGTTTTTTCGGTAAAGTCACGTAGGTAAAAATAAAATAAAATAAATGAAAACAACTAAATTAAATCACGACGTTTCGGGCGCAACACAAGCGTCCTTCTTCAGGTGGGAACAACACTTTAGCGGTTGTGCTTTCGCTACGTTCTACCGATATTAGGAAGCCACTGAGCTACGCACTTTTAAATCTAGATTGAAAACTAATTTCTTTAGAACTTATTTTTGTGTTTGGTTTGTTGTCCTTCCCCCCCTGCACCCCCAATTAGCGTGGTCGGCTACGTACGGTGCGAAAGAAGTTCAGCACGTCGCCAGCCGTGCTAATCGGAGTCGCGCTTGCAGTCTTCTTCCGCTTGCACGTGTTTTCCCCCTCCCCCCGTCCCAGTGTCCGCTGTTCCTCGTGCGAGCCTCACATCTTGGCAGCATGCCTTCGTTACAAACTCTCCCCTGGGAAGCCACTGGAACTGGCAGCGTCGGTGCAACGGGCGCAAACTCCGTGTCGCCGGCGCACGACGGCGAAACGAATTCCTCTTCAGCGCGCACTTGAGCGGCGCAGACAAAATTCCACGAATGTGCTGCAGCAGGAGGAGGATGAAGAGGCGGTGGAGAGCATGGGCACTGCTGGGCACCCACCCACCCACCCCGCCTCGCTCGTCGGTGATGATTGATGGCCCTGGCATGCCACAGGAAGAAAGGGGGCAAGTCTTTAGCAGAGGTTGGTGCAGGCGGAGCCAGAGGTCGCAAACGGGTTTTGATTCCTTACCCGTACCCGGCCGCACCAGGGTCGCAAACGGGTACCCGTACCCAGCCGGGTACGAGTAGCTGGGTATCGGGTACCCGGTTGCGACCTTACTGGGCAGCGCCCGGGCAACCTTCAATTCAGCCACCGCCACCTCCTCCTCCCTGTGCACCCCCCCCACTCTCTCGCTTTGTGGGTGCCGTGTTTTCCACACCCCTGATGTGTTTCGATTCCGTGCCTTTTTGTCGCTTCTGGCCCCCCTTTGCACTGGAAACCAAGTGTCCCTACACGTCCGATAATCAGCTTGACCGTCCACTTTTCGTTCTTACCTTAAAACTACCCCCTTGTTTTGCTACCCCAACCCCCCTCTTGGGTGGGGGCCCAGGGTGGAGCCCGGGGTAGGTTCAATGCCACCACCAGCGTGGCTGGGAATCAAACACAGGTTGGCAGAGTTCATGACAAAGCAAGACTGTGTATAGCCACTTCGTGCCCTCGCTCACGCCCTGTTGTCGGCTTTGCTGGTGGACAAATACGGTATATCAAGCACTCAACATCAATTTGTGGAACGTTTATTATGTTCTTTCGGTAAAATCACGTAGGTATAAAATAAGATAAATCTTTTTTTTTTCTACCTACGTGACTTTACCAAAAGAACCATAGAGTATGGATTTCTGCAGTCACGAAAGCTTCAAATCAAGATTGGTTATTACGTCGTCGCAATGTTTTGTTCTATCTTTGTACTCGAAATAAAAACGTGAAATAATTGTTACATTTTCGTTGTCATTTAGTTTTTTTTTTGCCGTAACTTATACGTGCGTGTTGGTTATATCTGCATGCCTTTATGTGTGTCTGTATTCTTCTTTAGGCTCGGGTTTAAAGCGAACTCTGGTCCTGTTTATGATGTTTTGTTGTTCTCCGTTTCATTCACCTGCGCCTTAACTCAGGTTGTCGTGTAACCATGGGACATTAGCACAGCGTACTTTTGCTTCACCATAAATAACATAGATTTTTTATTTATTATCATGAACATGGCATGGGTTGCAAGGGAGGTATTTAGTTTAAAAAAATAGCACACCACTGCCACCTGTTGGTATTTTGTTTAGAAACAGGAGAGCTATTTCAGACAACACAATATGAAAAAACAATAATAGGGGTTACACTTTCCGGCAATTAAACAGGTGGTGTGAAGATATTCAACCACCAAATAGAAACCTTCTGCATTAACCACACGTACTTGTGATTAACATACAAACAATGCATATATCAATGCATTTATTTTCGAGCATGTGTTTAGTTTGTATGTTCACAAGCACGCGTAGGTTAATGCTGGGCATGATTCCTTGCAAAAGGTTTATATTTGGTGGTTGAACATCTTAACACCAGTTTTTTTTTGCCAGAAAGGGTCACACCTATTCTTATTTTTCATACATTGATACTGCCAAATAAAACTATCCCATTTTAATCAGCACAATAATTAAATACACTTAAATGCATTACAACCATTCTCAATCCACCAATGGATGATGGCCTCTCTCTGTAGGTCATGGGAGGGCGGGAGGTTAATTGATCATACTTCACCACGCTGGTCAACCTCGGTTGGTCACAGGGTTGGTGGGGGTCAAATCTAGTTCAGTTCACACTCACCACGGTGGTCAGCGAGTCATCCGTGGGCAAGCACCAATGATCCGATAGAAATCCCTAATTTCGATCGGATCATTGGGGTTTATTAGTAATACATCGGCATGTTGCAACCCCCACTGCCACTGTGCAGTAGCATATTATTACGTGCCAGGGACTCTATGAGATGATAGGGCAATAGTCAAGAGTCCATAATTGGCAATAAGTAACGGCAAAGCAGTTATAAGTGACTCAGAATTGTGCGCAGTTGCGTCAACAGTCCACGACTTCCCTGAAGGCATTCACCTTCAGCGAGCGCGATGCCGATCACACAACGCGGTTCGAATTCGACCCTCGATCGATGGCTGTGCCATCGCCGCACACGCGTCGAAAAGAAAGCAAGGGACAAGTTCTTACTCACTAACAACTCCTTACTAACAACTCCTCTATCATTTTTCATTGCTGGAGGGGTTGCCCCCCCCCCCGACCTGGGCCAGGATTCAAACTCGGGCACCAAGGTTCGTAGCACGGCGCGCTCACAACTGTACCAGCGCTCCAGTTCTGCAAATTTTATTTTGCGAACACAAATTATATCAATCTCAAAGGGCACAGCGACATGGGGGTTGACATTAAATAAGTCTCACCGACGTGGTTCAAACGTAGAGGGAGGACGGCTCGAATTTCACATTTCATGGCTCACTCAATCTCCAATGTTGGCATTGATCACCCTCATTCTTCAGACCATCAAGAGGCATTAATATGATTAGATAGTGTGCCCTTCTAACATTGCAACTCATCTCATACCATTCCCGTCCACCTCACCCATTCCCTACCCGGTTCTTGTATCTATTTGATATGTTTATTGTGAGAGTATTGTATGTATTGATTGTATACACGATTCCATTACTAAGGGAGGGCACGTTTCAATTTGGTGTCCAATAAATCTTTGGATTTAAGAACATCCAATAGCATAGTATTAAACTGGACACCTGCCACCTCGGCCGGCTGGACAATCTAGGCGAGGCCGGAGGCTCTGCACGGGACCAGGCCTCACCACGCCACTCTGTCAGGTGAGTACTTTGTGCTATACAGTCCATAAATACTGATATATAATCAGCATGTACCACTGTTGTGATAAGAGATACCAGCACAGTCGGTATGCACTGCTGTAATCATAGCAGCTACCACCACAGTATGCACTGCTGTAATCATAGCAGGTACCACCACAATATGCACTGCTGCAGTGAAAGCAGGTACCACCACAGTATGTACTGCTGTAATCATAGCAGCTACCACCACAGTATGCACTGCTGTAATCATAGCAAGTGCCACCACAGTCAGTACGCACTGATGTTACATTTTTAAGAGGAGCTTTGAAATATTTTTAAGACCCGGGCAACGCCGGGTACTTCCTGCTAGTAACATATAAAAAGAATGTTTAAAATATATATCTTTTATTTTTATGATATAATATAGCATTGCCATCAGTATGACATAAGTATACAAAGTTTGCAGTCGATACCACATTGGGAAGTGGGTTAAAATTGAGTTACAAGATTTTAGGATACAACAACAACAGAGCGAGTTAAAAGAAAGCGTGTCATAATAAAAACCATTGTGGGGGCAGGTAATATTTGATGTTATTACAGGACCCCGTGGCACAGAAAATTCTAGACAGTTGCTGTAACACCACTGAGATCACCCCTCTTCCTTCGACATTCACAAGGGATAGCCTCACATACCCGGGCAATGACGGGTATTTGCAGGTAGTTCAATATACGAGAAATTACGTTTATTTTTTTACAGAACAAATTCCTTAAAACTAAACCATTAAAATATGTTCGGCAACAAGGAACAACATAGGAATACAATTAATAATAAGTGTGTATTGTTTATCATCAATCAATCTCCATATATATAAAAGGGACATTTGTGATTATGTGTGTCTGTTCAAAATATTTAGCGAACTTCCCGACATGCAACAAACATGAAATTTGCCATGTGGGTACTTTCCAGACTGTACACCATGCAAACATTATAAAAATACACTTTAGGATTTTTTTGGGGGGGGGGAGCTCAATAATGCATATATTTTTTGCACGGCAAGTGAGTTGTGACGTCACATCTGTCACGTGACCCGCGCATGTGGAAGTGTAACGCATTGTAGTGTAGCGGTTAGCGCGCTGTACTACGAACCCGGTGACCCGAGTTCGATTCCCGCTCACGGCCACAGCCGGTGACGATTATTTGAACCGGTCCTGGGCCTCCCCTAGATCGACTCAGCCTCAAACGAGTAATTGGTGTGGTGTGAACATCGCCACTGGGGAGACAAAGGCGGCCGGGCGTGGTGAATCCAAATCCTGGGCGAAGCCGGGTAGTAAAGCTAGTACATAATAAGGCGGTATTAATGCTAAAGGCTATGGTTTTTTTACGTGCTCATATATCATCACTTCTTTAAACATTACATTTTTGCCCTCATTGGTTTTATTTAGCCTTTTTGTGTAGCCACAGCACAGTGCAATCAGCACGACCAACAATGTCACGAAGTGGAAGTGAAGTATCCATTTACAATTCTTGCAGAGTATTATTATTGCATCGGCCAATGTTAGAGAACAGCCGGCAGAAGCCGACATTACAGAAGCACTTCTAAAAATCCCTACGTCGTGACCTATTTTACTCTCTTCTGTTTCATACTCCTGAGAAGTGTGTGTGTCAAGTGGCAGGCATGGTAAATCAATATCTTGAATTCTCAGAACTGGAGTCTTTACAAATTGAATGAAAAACAAATTTGCTGTGACAGTTTCACCTGAAGACAGAAGCTTGTGTTGCCTCCGAAACGTCGTGATTTTATTGTTTTTATTTTTATTAATTTTTATTTCATTTTTTACCTACGTGACTTTACCGAAAGAACTAAGAGTTTGACAATGGGGCTTTGTACTCACATTGTAAATGTTGTGGCTTGGCTCTCCAACACACCGGTGATGCTGTACTAGTGACGAATTGGCCACGTTCTGTTTACGTGACAACCCTTACTGGTTGGCTGTGTCGGGTGGTGGCGGTTTTAACGACTCATTTATATATTTACACGATCTAACCCCAAAAACCGCTATTATGGGGCCTTTTTTCCCCCCGTAGTCATTAGGGGCCGTCCATAAATGACGTCACGCGATTTTGGACAATTTTTGACCCCCCCCTCGTCCCACGGCGTCACAAAAAGTCAGACCCCCCCTCAAATATGACGTCACAAAGCTCTGCCCCCCCAAAATAAAATATGCTTCACATCGCTTTAAACTATTGTTATTGTAGTGTGCATTTAATGTGGCGCTGCACTCTGATGTTGTAGGAGAAAACATTTATTTAAAAGTCTATTTAATTAAGTAGAACGTGTTGTCTATATTCATTTAAAGTTGCGCATTTTGATGTGATGTCACATTTCTCAACCCCCCCCCCCCCTCGTCACACATCGTCACAAATGTCTGACCCCCCCCCCCAGGTGTGTGACGTCATTTATGGACGGCCTCTTATGTGACTGAGCTGATACCATCAACTCGCTGCATCTGCTAGTCTGGTTCTATCACAGACAGCCGAAACCCCGTTTTGGTTCCACGAACCCAGCAATGCGCGCCCGCTGTGTAGCCGAATTCTAAACTACTCAACTAAACCATTTTTATTTGACCTGCTAAGACCCACTGAGCCATACAGCTCTTTCTCAGAAGCGGCCTGGCCACAGATGACAGCTCAACGAAGTGGACATTTATAGCAGCCGAATCCTCGAAAGCGTGTGCGACACGTGTAACTGCGTTTGTCTCCGCTCCACATTCGTGTCGTTTGCCGTCGTCACGTTTCATTGGCTTATTATTGGCAAGAGTCGTGCGCCCTCGGTGCCTTCATTTGGTCCTGTGATTGGCTGCAGTGCCGAAGAGGATCTCGCCAGAGAGCACCACACCAGCAGCCCCACGATGAGGCAGATCACGAGCAAGCATGCGGTGACGAACGTCACGTCGCAGCACCTGGTCTTCCATAACTGCGGTGAAAGGAAATGTGGAAATAAACATTTAGTTGTGGTCTCCAACCGAGAGAGCAATCGCGCCAACACTGCGTCATGAGCGCACTCGGCGCATTCGCGTCACTCTCACAAAACGCGAGGTCATCGCGAAGGTCACCGCTGCTTTTTAAATCCTTTATATTAAGTTCACTTGCGTGCTTGCTTGCGCGCTTACGACCGTGCAAATCTTTCGGTCGTTCTTTTAACCTACTTCCCGTGATCCAATTTTCCACCTTTTAGGAAAAAAAATTCATATTTAATTTAAAATACCAATGTGATAAAAATGAAACTCTTACTCAAGAAAAACAGAAATGAATAATAAAATAAAACCGATGCCACGCATATAAAGGATTTATAGTGAAAAACTTTGTTTTTACCGGTTACTTTTTTCAGACATGATTTAGACGCAACACGGCAGACTCCCTTTATTGTTGTGAACGACGTCGACGGATATCTAACGGCCGCTGCCAAGCGGGCGGTGCGTCGTGTTATTATCATTCTCTTGAGTTCACACGCGACCTCCAGCATTAGCCGGGTGGCACACCCAGGGGCTCGAACCGTGGCGGCTAGCGGGCGAACATGCCGGCGTCGCATGATCGTCGTGGCGTCGCACAATTATAGGCGGGCGGTAAAGGCGCGGCCCTGCAATTTCTTGCATTTGGCCAACTCGCCGCGGAAGGGGCTGGGAGCGTACCCACGATTTACCTCACCACGCCTGACCTGCCGATTGGCTATCGGTGGCGAACCCTTCTATCATACCGCTGGGTGGACAGAGGCGGTCGGGGGGGTTATTTGAGAAACTTGTCACTGATGCACGTTGGACTTCTTTCGCACCGTGCGTCGCCAAACGTGCTAATCGGGTGGTGTCACCTCGGATTTAATCACGGTGATGTCAACTGCGTCGCGTCGACCAAGGCTGTGGGGCTCTGATGGAGATGGGGGGGAGTGCGACTGACCGGTGGAGACCTGGAGCCGACCAGCAGAGGGTCGTTGACATTCCCTTGGTTCGCATTTTCATAGTCCTGCAAGATTGTGCTCGTTAAACAGCGAAGTAGTGCACGACTTTTCTTTTAAAGGTACAAGAACCCAATTGTCCGTCTGACGTGTGCGCACGCACGCACGCTATAGCGCAGCGTTACAACAGTAATTCATACGTTTACTTGGAAGACAAACACATGGACATACAACAACAACCGCCAATCGTCACTAAGTGGCAGTGACATCACCACGGCGCTTGTGCCAGGCTAAGTACACTTTAAGGCCACGTGAAGTGTCGAACGCCCGCTGGCAGGTCATGGGACAGACCCAGGTGCCATGGGATGACTGACTGAGATGACTTGCCGATGCACACACACACACACAAGATGCTGCCGCTAGAAATATAAATGGCACACATGCACGGACATATGGAATCAGATGACGACTAACGCAACACGCCAACACACAAACATAGCATATGCACTATGAGACCTCTTTTACCAGTGGCAAAATATATTAAGAGGTTTTTACCCTTTCAACTGGTACAAAAACTGACGCCAAAAGGCGTCATCTGGTCCAACACCAATGTAGACTAGGCTCTAAGAAAAGCTGTCTCGGGTGTGGACCAATCAACTTCAAGGACAGTGCATATCATTATCATCATCAGAGTTGTTTCTTTTTGTTTGCATTTTGACTGCTTGTATTGCAAACATGATGCCTTGTATAAAGGTGTCAGTTTTTTTACCAGTTGAAAGGGTAAAAACATATTACTATAGCATATGCATTGGCGTTATAAATGTACAAATGTAACGCGCAAGCACATGTACACATTATTTATTGACATTGCTAAGACAGCACATGAGTACAATTGGGCCAGCTTCACACAGAATCAGAATAAGAATATGTATTTATACTAAAGGAATCTGATGAGCTATGAAGCTCTTTTACAGAGATGTCCAGGTGGGATGTGTCTGAACGTTACAACAGCAACCAGGTAAGGCCCACTGAGCTATTAGCTTCTTTTTCAGAAGCGACCTGGCCACAAATGACAGCTCAAAGCAGTGGCTTATCACATGCACATTTCTCGTAGGAAAAATAAAATAAAAATTAATGTGGAGAGAAAAACCGGAGGATCCAGAGAAAAAAAAATCCACGCAACCACGGGGAGAACATGCAAACTAAAAATATACAGCAGGCGTCAGGGTTGGGATTGAACCCCTGACCTCCTGCATACCAGGCGAGGTAGTTAATATCTTATAGCCACCGTGGTGTCCTCTACTGCTGTCATTCCTTCAGTTGACCTCTGGTCCACACACAGCAGAGGGCAGCACTTCTCATTCACTCTGTACGTGGCAGCGAGGTTCGTCACGTGACGGTCAAACATAATTGATAAATTATACATCGGTGTTGGAATTTAGTAAAATGAATTGTAGAAGCAAATGCAATTCTTCTTTGCACAGTCAATTTTTGCAACATGCAAACTAATCGCAGAAAATTAATGTTTTGTAAAAAAAAAAAACTCCCCATGCAAGCTTTGAAACAAATTCATTGCTTATTTGTAAAGCCAAAATTGAAGGTGGCCGGCCGGCTGGCTGTGTCAGAAGTCAGAGGATCGAGCGTTGAGCTGGCACTGCTGAGGGCCTGCGTTTCCTTGAAACTGGGTCCTCAAGTGTAGCTTTTCAGATTCCAAAGAACACAGGATGAGATGTTACTATCCTTTGTGCAAGCACTTCCAAGAGTTCATGAACAGTGAGCCTGGTGAAATTTGGGGAGCGCATCGTCAGTAGTGAACCTTTGGTTCCTAGGGTGTTTCGGCCTTTCATGCTATACACCCTCCCCAAAGGCGGCCAGCGACAGGGTGATCAATCCTACGCTTGCGTCCCATTCCCAATTAGTCATAGGAGTTGCCTTGTTGTTGATAGCCAACATCCCATGGGACTACACTTGAGGACCCAGTTTCAAGGAAACGCAGGCCCTCAGCAGTGCCAACTCAACGCTCGATCCTCTGACTTCTGACACAGCCAGCCGGCCGGCCACCTTCAATTTTGGCTTTACAAATAAGCAATTGATTTTTATACTCTTAGTTATTTCGGTAAAGTCACGTAGGTAAAAAATTAAATAAATAAAAATCACGACTTTTCGGGACGTTTCGGAGGCAACACAAGTCTCCGTCATCAGGTGGGACCGTCACAGCCAGATTTGCTGCATCACCTGATGATGACGGAGACTTGTGTTGCCTAATCTGGCTGTGACGGTCCCACCTGATGACGGAGACTTGTGTTGCCTCCGAAACGTCCCAAAACGTCCTGATTTTTTTAATTTTATTTTCATTTTTTACCTACGTGACTTTACCGAAATAACTAAGAGTATGAATCCTTGCAGTCACGAAAGCTTCAAAACTAGAAGCAATGAATTTGTTTCAAAGCTTGCATGGGGAGTTTTTTTTTTACAAAACATAAATTTTCTGCGATTAGTTAGCATGTTGCTAAATTTGTGCCATCCAAATACTAAACATTGGTGATTTGTGTTTGCATTGTGGATGAGCCCTGGGTGTGTGCGTGTTTGCAGCAGACGTACGTTATTTCTGGGGAGGAGGTGAGGTTGGTTAACCTCTCTCCATTGTGGTCGACTCTGAGCCACGGTGGAATCTGATTCACACGAAAAAACAAAATCACATCCATTTCTTTAGAACTCAGTTTTTGTGTTGAGTTTGTCGTGACCCCCCACCCACCCACCCACCCCGCACCTCCGATTAGCACGGTTGGCTAAGTACGATGCGAAAGAAGTTCAACATACATACAAGCTTTCGTGACTACAGGGATTCATCTTCTTGGTTCTTTCGGTAAAGTCACGTAGAAGGGAAATAATAAAATAATAAAACATAATCTAATAATTCTCACGACGTTTCGGCCACAACGCAAGCAGCCGTCCTCAGGTGAAGACCAGGTCTGTCGGGGAGACAGCGTCTGAATGCTGTCTCCCCGACAGACCTGGTCTTCACCTGAGGACGGCTGCTTGCGTTGTGGCCGAAACGTCGTGATAATTATTTTGTTTTGTTTTATTTTTATTATTTTATTATTTCCCTTCTACGTGACTTTACTGAAAGAACCAAGAAGACACATACAATACTTTAGACGCGGTTTAAAAAATGATGGCACTGCTTACACCTCTTGCAGATGATTCCCCCTCAATTCACGTACATTATCTTTAAGGATTATTTCAATATCATATGTTTGATTTCAAGATGCTTTTTTCATAACTTGTGTTGCCAGTTAATTCTCCATATTTTCACCTTCTATAATCCCAAATCACACAGAATACTGGTGTCAATAACACTGGTCAACACACTTTTTCTGGCATAAGGTATTCCAACGGGTTTAATGTAATTTTTGGGTGCTGATTCCAAATCTGGCATCAGTTTTTGTCTATCACATCAGGTTTTTGAGATAATAAATATTGCATTTTCAATAAAATCTGCAGAAGAAAATATTAAATAAATGTGGATATCTACATAAAATTCTATTATAAACACACTATCTTAAAAATACAGCACCATATTTTAACATTAAAGCAGTCACCGACTCGCAACAACTTGCAATCATAAGTGACAGAGTTCATTTCGGGTAAAATCAATGAAAAGGGGGTATGCCGATAGCATAAAAATGAGATGTGATAGAGCAAATCTGAGATCAGATTTGGAATCAGCACCCTGAATTTAGTCTAAAACAGCTGCAAAAGTCCAGGCCAGAAAAAAATGTTTTTTTTGTTGACCAGTGTAATATTTAGATATAGAGTTGGCTTGGGGATGCCTGCATCCAGCAGTGGATTGACCAAGGCTGATGATGATTCATCAATACGATTACGAATGCATTTTTTTGTTGTCTATCGGTCGATATTTGAAAAATGTGATTTTTTTTTACTTTTATCTAAAGACACTTTGCAGTAGATCTCACACAAATCACCTCCCCTCAAACTGTCACGATTCGGGGTTCACGAGGGCTCGAAAATTCGCTGCAGATTATTGTGCAACTGGAGGGGCCTCCTAGTGGCTGCAGGGGTCACTACAAACTAATTACATACAAGATATACGAATAGAAAACAATCGATTCTCTCACGCAGAATACTCTCCGTGTATTGAGAGCATAAGAATTTACTTTAATCGATGAAATTATGACATTGCATCACCGCTCCTTGGCACTCATATAATCCTTGATGTATGGTGAGTGGGCGTTGTGCAGGGAAAGAAACTCCTCCCTGAGCTTCTAGATTTGAAGCTTTCGTGACTGCAAGGATTCATATTATTAGGTTTTTTCTGTAAAGTCACGTAGGTAAAAATGTAAAATTAATAAGGAAGCTTGTGTTGCCTCCGAAACGTCGTGATGTTTATTTTATTTTTTATTTGATTTTAATTTTTTACCTACGTGACTTTACCGAAACAACCTAAGAAACTCCTCCCTGAGCGTAGCAGCGCTTGTTTTTAAGAAGTGCTCACGATCTCTCTCTTGAGTCCGTTGCGTCTTGCCGTGACTCACCGATGGCGCGGTTCATTTCGCTGAACGCTTGATTCAGTCTCGTCTTGATTTCATTGATATCGATCATGACTTCCTGCAGGTACAGCAAGTACAGTTGAATCTCCAGTACTCCAGCCACAATCCGCACGAACCATGGCAGATGCAGACACCTAATACAAGAAGGTTAAATTAAAGACTCTGACGTTTTGCGGTGACTGTGGTCACCCGGAAGAGAACCATGGAACGTTTAAAGACTCGGCGTACGATTCACGAATACGAGGAAGGCATCATCGCAGCGATACCCTCCGCCGCTACTCCTGACACAATTATCCGGCTCGGCCACCCGAATGTAAAACTATACTTGGTGCACGAAATCATCGTCAGCCATACGTCGGTAGAAGCCAGTACCGCAAGTACAAAGGGTGCAGATGTATCGGCATTTGGCTAATTTAGTTAACACACCGTCTGTGCCAGAGTGTACGTCAAAGATCCGGTGGTGTTATTCAATGAGACTGGAAAATATGTGCCACCGTCATGTTCCAAATGTGCCAATTTTATTTTTTATTACTGCAAATTATCTGATCACCTTCCGCAGCACAGGTACAATCTGCCATTAGGGCAGGGGTCACGGTAGACCAGGGGTCCCCAACCCTACCGGGCCGCGGACCGGTACCGGTCCGTGGCTTGTTAGGAACCGGGCCGCACAGCAGTAGGAGTTGAGAGCGGTGAGTCCGCGCGTGGCTCGCCCCCATTGTTTTATTATTCACCACATCCAAAGGGAGACTCGCTGAGCCTCAAGGCTCTTTTATTAGGAGGATCCTGCATCGTAATGCTTGACAAACTCTGTCTGAATAATCATTTAGTACATCAGATGAAATCAGAGTCAAATTGATAATTTTCCACCTTTTCTTCAATCCACATCTGGATGAGGGCCTCCCTATGCCGTTTCAGTCATGGGAGCATCCAGAGAAATCCCACGCATACCAAAAGATAACAAAGCTCTGCACATATGCAGTCAAATAACCATTGCTATGCTGCCATCTGCTGGCTACCTCCTCGATTAAGCCTGCAACACACCTAACATTCCCAGGTAGCCTCCAATTCGTATACTATCCAGGCTCAATTTCGTTTAGCTACTGAGATCTAAAAATTGTGGGCGCATTCAGGGAGGTGCATTCGTTACAACTCCGACGCCTGCATATTTGGAGTTTGCATGCTCTCCCAGTAGTCGCGTGGATTTTTTTTACATCTGGGTCCTCCGCTTTTCCCCACCACGTTAAGAAACACGCGTTTAGAGTATTTGGTTGCTGTATTAAAGCCCACTTCGTTGGGCTATCATTTGTGGCCGGGCCGCTTCTGAAAGAGAGCTACGTAGCTCAGTGGGCCTCACCTGGATATTTTTTTGTTAAATAGTAAATGTGTAGAGAAGTTCCGACGGACGTACTCGTAGACGGAGGTAAGTTAAGGGCTTCTGCCAGGGTTTATTAAAGCTGTTACAATATTACACAGCAGGGTACACAACTCCCAGGGGCTAGGGGTCCTACTCTGAGTCCGGTCCCTGCCGGCTCGCTCCGGTCTCTCTCTCTCTCGTGTCGGATCGTGGAGTCTGCCGACTCCACCGAGCGGAGAGAGAAGCACCTCTACGGCTACCACCGGCTTCTCCCCAGACTCCCTATTCGCTCCCTCTCTACCCCTGGTGCCCTCTTCACCCTGCTTACTCTAATTCCCGTTACCACGGTGACCCCGCTTACGTCACGGGGTATCCCTTAAGTACCTTAGGAGACGTGACGTCATCGCACTGAACGGCACACCTGACGTCACGTCCCCATTTTACTCCTCTACAAATGTGCAGAACTTACCGTCTGTTGCTGAATGGCTTCATTAGCCATCCTTCTTTTCTTTCTCTCTTCCTGCCTCTGTCTTGTAACATGTGATCTCACGCCATGGGCATCGATCTCATCTTCAACCTCTTCATCCTAGAACGCAGGGACACACTCGTGCGCTTCGTGCCTGAGAGCGCGTGCGCGTCGTGGCACGGCGACAAGGCTGACGGAGGTTCGATGTTCTAGTTCAACGGCTGCCCTGGTTAATACCGCGACGGGTCGGTTCCACGTAACAATAAGTGCCGCCGACTTCACAGTGCATCGTAAAAATCTTGCGATGTTATTTAATAATACAACAGTAAGGCCACGTGTGCCGGGCTTGACGGTATAAACGTTATACTCTTTAGTTCTTTCGGCAAAGTCACGTAGGTATAATATAAAATAGATCACGACGTTGCGGGCGCAACACAAGCGTCCGTCATCAGGTGGGAAAGCATGGTCTGCAGACTGTTTTAAAAAGTTTTAAATGGGTGTAGCCCAAGGGTCATAAAGAAGTGGCCGGGGCTAGTGATGTTAATGTGAGAAATTAGCATGTAACTGGGTACGGTCTAAACTTTACAAAGTTGAAAATTACTTACAAATGACCTGTTTGGGTAAAGCCACATCGCAACATTGGGGCGCCAACAGTGGCGAGATGTTAACTACCTCGCCTGGTCTACAGGAGGTCGTGGGTTCGATCCCGACCCTGACGCCTGCTGTATATTTGGAGTTGGCGTGTTTCTCTCCCCCTGGTCGCATGCATCTTATTTGGCTGCTATACATTTCTAGATGATAAGCCACTTCGTTGAGCTACAATTTGTGGCAAGGTTGCTTCTGATAAAGAGCTCTATAGCTCAGTGGGTCTTACATGGTAAGTATAGTTAACGTTGCTCCCCTACTGTTCAACTAGTGCAGTCTATACTCGTCTGTGAATCATAGCGCCCCTGTGACAGGTACCTTGCGCATAATCGCGTGGCACGAATACCAAAGGCACTGCTCAGTGCCGGATTATCCCAGTAGCAAAAGTAGCTACATATGTAGCTACGTGCCCCACACTTTCAAGGGCCCCGCGCTAAATGCTTTCAAGCTATCAATTCCGGTTCAGTGATTCTGCACTTGCTCTATTACTATAGTACTATACCGCCTTCAACTTTTATGAACGACTGGGTGTTTAAGGTTAGCGATTTGTTGTATTACCTGGCTGTATAGCAAATGAAAAAATACAATAACTTTACTATGCAAGTAAAAAAACGTGTGTTTTCATATTTACGTGTTTTTTTAATTTAGGGCCCCTTTATAACATATGATACAGGCCCCGCACTAGCTTAATTCGGCACTGCTAATGGTTTGAATTCATCGCTGCCTTCGAGCCGTGTCTGACGTTCGAAAAATGCTGATGCGAGGTGCACTTCCAAGCTCTAGAAGCGAAAAATAAAAATTTGAGCGCAACTCCGAGAATAATAACTCAAATGTAAGAACACTCACCACGACGTCGACCAGGGCGCCGAAGATATTGTCGAGTTTCTGATACAATTTCTGCAAAAAACAGAAAATGTATTTGTGCTTCATTAAAGGCCCCGTCAAGTGTCGTTAGTATCCTTCATTTATGCAGTGGCATTGTTTTTTTTTCTTCCTTAAACATTTTTTACCGATTCTGCCGACGCAATTCTGTCACCAAAGCTCACACAGGGGGCCGCATCACCCCACGCTGTACAACAGCGCAGTTACTCGCAGTGTATATGCGTGTGTGCGTGTGCACGCGCTCATTATCTCACCTAGTTAAAACAACTCGAGTAAAAAAAAATACCTGCTGTGATTATGGGCTTTTACCAAATCAGATATGAGAAAGCTAAGCTGATTTTTGAGCGGGTTGGATGTGCGCCTGCCGACGCATAGCAGTTGTTATACTGGTAGGAACCCACTGGTTCCACCAGCCCACAGGGGATTATTGTGTCCGTCCGTCGTGCAGGGAGGGGCTGGGTGGGGAGGGAGGGGCTGGGTGGGGAGGGTGGGGAGGGGCTGGGTGGGGAGGGTGTTGAGGGGCTGGTCACCCAGTGGTGCCCTTATAAAACTCAACGTTTAACCTACTCACGCCGGCTTGTGCCCGCCCTCACAGTCGGGCATATTAGCGGAATACACCACGCCGCCGTTGACCCTGGCCATTGACCGAGCAACCCAACGTTCCTACCAGCTCCCTCCGTAGGAATGTGTTATGGTTGTGTGATCATGCAAGCAGGCAGCATAGGGCAAAGCGAAATAATAACAATTCTTGTGCCTTACCTCTAGAATCCCACATCTATGCTCCCGGCCTTCATCGCGACACGCACTGACCATAAGTCATGGCCAGAGAAGCTCTACGACCCACACGGGAGGCCCTTCCGTGTGAAGGTCCCACATCGTCCAGCGATGCTCGACGTCAAAAAGAGCCGCACATTCTAGCGGGTTGTTGCGTTTGAACGATTTTCACCAGGTAATTCCCACTGGGCTGTACAGCGTCTTTTAAGAATCGCGACCTGGCCATCACGAACGAGAGCCGAATACTCCAAAAGCGCAGTGAGCTCCGGTTGATTTTTTTGCGTAAACGCCCAGATGCTTGCCGTTCTTATTTTGAGTGTCTTCGAATGAACTTTGTAAGTCAATTCGATAAGCCCCAACCTTACACGCTCGTGTGCTTTTCACCGGCTCCAACGAACGGGTCTTTCCGGTTGTGACTGGAGTAAAGTAGTGAGAGAAAAGCTTCCTTTCTAGATTCCGCATTTAGTTCACAGAGGCATCACCGTGTAGCCTTTGACCTATGAAGGCCGACACGTCTGAATGAACTGGGCCTCCCCTTCAATGAACTTCATTCAGACGCTGTCTTTCCGACAGACCTGTTCTTCACCTGAGGACGGCTGTTTGCGTTGTGGCCGAAACGTCGTGAGAATTGTATTTGATTATGTTTTATTATTATATTATTTTATTATGTTTTATTTTTATTATTTTATTATTTCCCTTCTACGTGACTTTACCGAAAGAACCAAGAAGATGAATCCCTGCAGTCACGAAAGCTTTAAATCGAAAAATAATAATTTAGATGGCAAGGCTGTGCAAGGAAGGGTGATTAATGGATGACCACGATATGTATGTACATATGTTTAACTTCTTTGCCACCGTACGTAGCCAAACGCGCTAATCGGAGGTGCGGAGGAAAATACAACAAACTAAGCACAAAAAGCAGTCCTAAAGAAAAAAATAGTTTTCAATCTAGTATAATGGTGTAGCGTATAGTAGTGTAGTGTAGAGTGTAGTGCATTGTAGTGTAAAGTGTAGTGTATAGTGCAGTGTATAGTAGTATATAGTGTAGTATGCATGTTGAACTTCTTTGGCACCGTACGTAGCCAACCGAAGATGCGGGGGGGGGGGACAACAAACTAAAACACAAAGAGCGGTCTGAAAGAAACGAGTTTCCAATCAAGACAAACAGGGCCCAAAATCACCATGGGAACCTCATTTGCCAGTAAAAATATCAGAGTTATGTATTTTGTTTGTATTATGACTGCAGGTATTGCGGTCTATGCAAACATGACTCCTTGTAAAAAGGTGTCAGTTTTGTTGCCAGATAGAAGGGTAAAAAAACAATTATCAGGGCCCAAAATCGTTGATGCTGCAGCAGCGACACCCTGCCGTTGGCAACAGCTGTGGAGAAAGTTCCCTCCGTTCTCGGACACCTCGTGAGGCTGTGTGGCGTGGAGAGATACGGGAGGAAGGGAGGTGCGTGGCGTGGTGCTGTGTGTGTGCTCTCCCAGAACACGGGGAGCGGTGGCGCAGCGGTTAGCGCGCTGCGCTACGACCCGAGCTCGATTACCGCTCACGGCCACCAACACCACAGTGACGATTATCTGAACCGGTCCTGGGCCTCCCCTTGGTCGACTCGGCCTCAAGTGAGTACTTGGTGCGGTGTGTAAACATCGCCACTGGGGAGACAAAAGCAACCGGGCGTGGCACTCGCCACCCACCCCCAACCTTCATAGGTGCTGTTCGCAACAGCACTCGCCCCAACAGTCTGTTACAGGCTATAAGGGGGATTTTTGTGTGTTTTTTGTATCTCCAAGATCAGTCACCTGCTGCGTCTGCTCGTAGTCTTGCGCCATTTGGAGAAACTCACTCCTCATGCGATTCAGCCGCATCAGCTGATCCTGGGAATGGCAAAGGAGAAAAAAACAAAGGCGGCAAGCAGTGAGGGATTATTTCCTGAACGTAAGGCAGCAGCAATGACGATGTGTTATTTGCCCAGGAAGGAGTGTCAAGATTTCGATTTAAAGCTTTCGTGACTGCAGGGATTCATCTTTTTGGTTATTTCGGTAGTCACGTAGAATGGAAATAATAAAATAATAAAAACGTCGTGAGAATTATTTTATTATGTTTTATTTTTATTATTTTATTATTTCCATTCTACGTGACTTTACCGAAAGAACCAAGAAGGAGTGTCAAGCTCTTGATAACGGGGTCACCACTCGAGAAATATATTTCGTCGAAGTATTTTTGAAGCATTTTTGCAGTGCCCATAGAATGACCGTGCGTACCAAGGATCGCAAGGCATGCGCCACAACACTCACCAAAAACTCCGACAGCGTCTGGTGTATCCTTGAGAACGCTCATTGAGGACCGTGTCTTGATATGCACCGTTACAAAACGATGGTTTCAGTTATGCCGGGAAGCCACTTGGAGTCTCATGATTTTCCTGCTTGGGATTTTGGCCAATTCCTCATGCACATGTTCAGTCCTACATCATTAGACCTCCTTTGCCAGTACCAAAATATAATAATAGGGTTTTTCCCGTTTTGACATGAATCCTTGTAAAAAGGTTTCAGTTTTGTTGCCAGAAAAAAAGGGGAAAACCCCTTATTATTATGTTCAGCCCTCTTACCAATCAACTGCCTCCTCCCCCCCCCCCCCACCATAATGTACAGGCATTGTTGTTTTTTTTACCGATTTTCTTTCGCTCCAACCACGCTCATCGGAGGCGCGGGCAAAGGACAACGAAGCGAAGCACAGCAGGAAGTTCTAAACGAGTGAGTTTTCCACCTCGATAAACGACTACAGCCGCGACGCGCAGTGGACACACAGGGGCGCGGAGAGCATGCCCCCCCCCCGTCTCTTTGGGCTTCATCTGATGCCGCAATAGTGGAAATACCCGTTTGGTGCGCGGGCGTCTTAAAGCTTGTCAACCAGCTGTGTCCCGGCATGCACCCCCCCCTTCCCCGCTGCGTCACAGCGTAAGAAGCACGCACGCTAGACGGGTTTAACGCGCAGCTCGCCGTCGAAGCTAGAGGCGCAACCCCGCAATGTCTCGCTCACGACACTGCTGGCGGCAAGGGGCCTCCGCTACAGGAGCGCTCCAGAGCCCCCCCCCCCCATCTGGAGGGTATTTGGCCTGCTCTTCCACAGCGGTCAGTGGTGTTTGGGGAGAGATGAGAGCACCTGCCCGCTCTGTAACGCCATCACGACTGACCGTGGCGTTGCCAATTTACTCGGACCCCGGGGTATGCAGAAGTGGTGGTGGCGTTTAAAAAGAACTCGAACAATGCCGAAAATGTCACGTTCCGGAGATTGAACGGCAGTCGGGCGCAGTGAGCTCCTGCACCTGGAGGCTTCCATGTGCTTCTCGTCTCAAGGGTGACACTTTGAACAAGTTACAGTGCGACAAAAAATTTTTTCGATTTAAAGCTTTCGTGACTGCAGGGATTCATCTTATTGGTTCTTTCGGTAAAGTCACGTAGAAGGGAAATAATAAAATAATAGAAATAAAACTAAAACATAATAAAGTATTTTATTATGGTTTATTTTTATTATTTTATTATTTTCCTTCTACGTGACTTTACCGAAAGAACCAAGAAGTTGCGACAATTGTTTAGTGATTTAAACAACAACAACAACAGAAGCACGTGTTTGAACGCTCATCGACAACGCAACACAAGAGGTGCATCGCCTTGACTGGCTCTGCATGCCTCTGTTGTGTCCACGTTGCGTTACTTCTGTGCTCTTAGGTTTTTTTTCGGTAAAGTCACGTAGGTAACAAGTATAACCCGTAAAAACAACGTTTTTCACTATAAATCCTTTATATGCGTGGCGGCTCGAGTCCTCTCATCCTCTGGCTTGAGATGGCTGCCACCTATGGGCCAGATGATTGTCTGGCAGCATTAAACAATTGGCAATTAAATCTAAAAAAAAAAATTCCCTAAACAGTGTAAAATTTTGGAAAAATTGTTTTCACGAAAATGCATTGTCACGCACAACGAGTCTGTGTGCAAAATGTCAGCTCGATTGGATCACGGGAAGTGGGTTAAAAAACGATCGAAAGATTTGCACGGTCCTAAGCAAGCAAGCGAACTTAATATAAAGGATTTAAAAATAAAAAAAGTAATAAAAATAAATAATAAAATGATAGAAATAATAATAGAAATAAAATAACAAATCAAATTATTTTTTACCTATGTGACTTTACCGAAAAAACCGAAGAGTATGAATCCTTGCAGTCACGAAAGCTTCAAATCTAGAATTACTTCTGTGCTGTTTCTCATGCAGGTGCCGTATACTGATTCTGCACCAACATCGGCAACCGTAGCTCCCAGCATTCTCTCCAGCTGACTCATTGTCCTCGCCTGGCATGCAGGAGGAGGTCGTGGGTTTGATCCCGACCCTGACGCCTCGATGTTTGGAGTTTCCACGTTCTACCCGTGGCCGCGGTTTGCGGGGGAGCGGTAGTGTAGCAGGTTAGGGTGCCGTCCATAAATGACGTCACGCGATTTTTTACGATTCTTGACCCCCCCCCCCCCTTCGTCACGCGACGTCACAAAAAGTCAGACCCCCCCTCAAATGTGACGTCACAAAGCTCTGCCCCCCCCCCAAAAAAAATAAAACATGCTTTCAATCGCTTTAAACTATAGTCATTCTAGTGCGTATTTAATGTGACGCTGCACTCTGATGTTGTAGGAGAAAAAAATTATTAAAAAGTCTGTTTAATTAAGTAGAACGTGTTGTCTATTATTTATTTAAAGTTGCGCATTTTGATGTGACGTCACAGTTCTCACCCACCCCCTCGTCACACATCGTCACAAATGTCTGACCGCCCCCCCAAATGCATGACGTCATTTATGGACGGCCTCTTAGCGCACTGCGCTACGAACGCGGAGACCCGTGTTCGATTTAACCAACACGGTCGAATATTTTTTAACGGGTCCTGGGCTTCCCCCAAGTCGACTCAGCCTTAAATCAGAACTTGGTGCTGTATGTAAACATCATTACTGGGGAGACACTCCGACCCTGGCGTGTGCTGCGTCGGCCTCAAGGGGTGCTCGCTAACAGCGCCTGCTGTTGGGGGGCGACACGTCGGGATGCGTCGTCTTTGTGTGCATACGAACCTCGCTGTAGTGGCCGCCCAGAGCCGTGAGCGCGCAGAGGAGCGACAGCACCTCCGTGACCAGATCCTTGATCACTGTCTGGAGGCCGATGCTGTGTGTGGGAGACGCGCGTGTTAAGACACTCAAACCTGTCCAACGCCCCCCCCCCCCCGCTCGCACCCCCCCCCCTCCCAGCTCGCACCCTATCTGCCATGGAAGATGTAGCAGAACTAATCCGTTGCCACTTATGCACACGGAATGGCACATGTTTAGACGTGGCCTGGAAGTCGTCTTCGTGACATGGTAGTCAAATTATAAATGTTGAATCCTCAGAGCTGCAGTGTACCCAAATTAAGTGAAAACCCAACGTGTATTTGATGTTTTTTTTTAATGGTGCAGTCATAAGTGACTGAGCTAAGCTCATGGACTCCCAACACTTGAGAATCAAATTTAATCACGGGATGCTGAAACCAGGATTCGAAACGGCTCCTCAGCGTTGCCAGCTAATGAGACGAGGCATCTCATTAAAGGACATTTAAAAAAAATTGCATAGCTCTTGTCCAATCCTTGAATTCTCTGAACCCACGAATTGGTTTATGCCAAATTCCAGTGTTATCCTGATGAGCAGAGTCGCCGAGAAGCGGAGGCACAGTCAACCGACTCTTCGCACTTTGCCATGCAAGTTAAAGCCGCGTATCGTTTGAGATGAACGCGGGTAATACAGGATGCGCGCCCTTTGCTCTACACATTCAACTGGATGTGATGTTTCACTAGCGGGGTGCCATTATTGGGCCGAGAGCAGGACTCCTTAGCGCTCGCTGTGATTGATGAACGCCGCGTGAATTTGAAAGTGATAAAAGAAAAACAATAATCACATATGTATTCGCTGAGGCCGATCGTTCAAGTCCAAGCTCCGGCCGCCCAGGTACCGATCGAACTCTGCGACTGTGAGCGGGTGGGGGTGTAAGAGAAGAAGACACCACACGCAATGGGAGCTGGGATCACCGGTTGAGCAAGACAGCACAAGGCACGATTTGTATCTGATAAAGAGGCAGTTTCACGTACTGTTAAAATGGCTAGAAACACATCTCTTTTAGTTTAACACGTAGGCTTTCGCGACCAATATTATTCATAATCAACGTTTTTGGGTTTAGATCGCGTTATTTATAAATGTGTCGTAACCCTCCACCACCCGACACGGCCAATCAGTAAAAAAGTGTCACGTTGACAAAAGACAAATAGCTTCACGCTTCAACACACCGGTGGGCTAAAGCAGTGAACTAATTGTCTTTTGTCAACGTGACACTTTTTTACTGATTGGCCGTGTCGGGTGGTGGAGGGTTACGACATCTCTTTTAGCCCCCCCCCTTCCAATACGTTCCATTCATTGGCTACCACATTCTGACAAGCTCCCCCCCTCTCCTCCTCCCCCTTAACTTGTATTTAAGAACTTGCATCTTGGAATCCCTGCCTCACTTGATACAGCAAATCTGGCTGTGACGGTCCCACCTGATGACGGAGACTTGTGCTGCCTCCGAAACATCGTGATTTTTGTTATTTTATTTTTATTAATTTTAATTTCATGTTTTACCTACGTGACTTTACCGAAAAAACTAAGAGTATAGAAACACATCCATCGCCTCTGTACAGTATTTGCCTCGCTGTTGGCACCGGTTACGTTCTGAAAAGTCTCGAGACGAAGTGAGGCTCTCCCGGTCACATCAAACTAAACTAAACTATGTTTTATTTCACCAGGTAAGGGTCACTGAGCTGTATAGCTCTTTCTTAAGCAGCGACCTGGCCACAAATGACACCTCAACGAAGTGGCTTATCACGTGTAAATGTATAGCAGCCAAATACTCTAAACACACATTTATACATGTGGAGGGAAAAACCGGAGTACATGTAGAAAAATCCTCGCGACTACGGGGAGAACATGCAAAGTCTAAATATGCAGCAGGCGTGGGGTAGTTAACGTCTCACCACCGTGGCAATGAAGAGTGCCATAACTTCAAATACTTACTCTTGTCGGACATCTTTTTGAGGCAGTTGCTGGCGTCATGCGAGGTGTCCCTGAATTTGGTCTGATTCGCTTCCGACATCGCTGCAAGTCACAGGGAGTCATTTACAGAGCGGTTTATTTCCCGAGTAAAGACAATTTATACTGGTAGGAACCTCCTGGTTACACCAGCCCACAGGCGATTATTGTGTCCGTCCGTCGTGCAGGGAGGGGCTGGGTGGGGAGGGGAGGGTGTGGAGGGGCTGGGTGGGGAGGGTGGGGCTGGGTGGGGATGGGAGGCTGGGGAGGGGTGGGGAGGGGAGGGTGGGGATGGGCTGGTTGGGGAGGGTGATGAGGGGCTGGGTGGGGAGGGTGGGGCTGGGTGGGGGGTGGGAGGGGTGGGGCTGGATGGGGAGGGGCTGGATGGGGAGGGGAGGGGCTGGTCACCCCGTGGTGCCCTTATAAAACTCAACGTTTAACCTACTCACGCCGGCTTGTGCCCGCCCTCACAGTCGGGCATATTTGCGGAATACACCACGCCGCCGTTGACCCTGGCCATTGACCGAGCAACCCAACGTTCCTACCAGCTCCCTCCGCAGGAATGTGTTTTTTTGCAATGCTGCTCTTTTGTTTCAAGGGCGACTCAGCCAGCAGGCGACAGCAGCAGCAGCAGGAGGGAAGTTCAGCTACATACGACACGTCATTCACATGCTTTAAAACAAAAAAGTTAATTCGAACGGTGTTATCTCGAACAGAAACACGCAAACAAAATGGGAACGGGCCTTTTCTGGCTACAAAGTGGAATAAATAACAGCAATCCTGATAATTGTTTTTTTTACCCTTTTATCTGGCAACAAAACTAACACCTTTTTTTTTACAAGGAGTCATGTTTGCATAGACCACAATACCTGCAGTCATAATGCAAACAAAAAACATAACTCTGATAATGTATGCATTATGACTGCAGGTATTGTGGTCTATGCAAACATGACTCCTTGTAAAAAAAAGGTGTCAGTTTTGTTGCCAGATAAAAGGGTAAAAAACCAATTATCATATTTTTTTACTGGCAAATGAGGTTCCAATGGTGTAACAGCAATCCTGTTTTTCTTATATTTACATAATCTGTTCCGTTATTCATTACGGTATTAATGTATTCAAGGTGGTGATGAAGTGACGACATCGTGCTCAGCGCACTGCTCCTGAGTTCGATTCCTGGCCTCATATACCAAGTGTGTCTCAATAATAATAATCATTATCAGACACACGCACACATCCTTGCACTAAAACGCACCGGACCTGGTCGTGTGTAGACAGCCTCCTTATCAGCGTTCATAGGGAGAATACATTTTTGTTAAAATAGAAATTATAGTAAAAAAAAAACAGAGGTCACACACCGCCACCAACAGGGGCTCTCAAGTGAAGGTCGCCTCCTCACGGCGTATCGGGTTGTGGGAGGAGGGGTCAATCGATTGACCATACTTCACCATATTTCGATTTAAAGCTTTCGTGACTGCAGGGATTCATCTTCTTGACTCTTTTGGTAAAGTCACGTAGAAGGAAAATAATAAAATAATAAAAATAAAACACAATAAAATTTCGATTTAAAGCTTTCGTGACTGCAGGGATTCATCTTCTTGGCTCTTTCGGTAAAGTCACGTAGAAGGGAAGTAATAAAATAATAAAAGTAAAACATAATAAAATAATTCTCACGACGTTTCAGCCACAATGCAAGCAGCCGTCCTCAGGCGAAGAACAGGTCTGTCGGAAAGACAGTGTCTGAATCTCATTCAGAATCTCATTCAGACGCTGTCTTTCCGACAGACCTGTTCTTCACCTGATGACGGCTGCTTGTGTTGTGGCCGAAACGTCGTGAGAATTATTTTATTGTTTTATTTTTATTATTTTATTATTTCCCTTCTACGTGACTTTACCGAAAGAGCCAAGAAGATCATACTTCACCATGCTGGTCGGTCAGTGTGGGTTGTTGAAGGGTATTGTTCACGTGGTTTAGTGGTAATTTATTTATCATCTCAGTCAGTCGACCCGTGGCACCTGCTGGGTCTGCCCGGTGACCTCCTGCCAGCGGGCGTTCGACACTTCACGTGGCCTCAAGGTGCACATGGCCTGGCACAAGCGTCGTGGTGACGTCACCGCCACTTAGTGGCGAATGGCGGCTGTTGTTGTTGTTGAAGGTGGTTGGGGTAAAAGGGGGAGACACGGGGATCGGTTGGGATCTCGCTTGCCACTGATGTGAGCCGTGGCCCTGCTAGGAAAGTGGTTGGTTCAGAGTATTTAATTTAGTCTAGATTTGAAGCTTTCGTGACTGCAGGAATCCATACTCTTTGGTTCTTTCGGTAAAGTCACGTAGGTATAAAATAAAATAAATCACACAAGCAATCACTATCAGGTGGGAAACCCCAATTCTCCCCAGTCCAGCTTCACGTCCCTCTCCTACCGTCCACGCAGCGCTCCCCTCCCCCTACCCCACACCCCCCCCTCTCTCTTCCCCCCTTGCCCCTCCCCCCTCTCTTACCTATATAACCTCTTAGCACGGCATCTCTCTCCCACTTCAGCAAAAAAAAACATTCTTGCTGTGGTTTTCCCACCTGATGATGATTGCTTGTGTTGCAATTGAAACGTCGTGATTTATTTTATTTGATACCTACGTGACTTTACCGAAATAACCAAAGAGTATTTCACTTAGTGTTTTAGAGTATGTTTCAAGTGATAAAGCCACTACGTTGAGCTATCATTTGTGGGCAGTTCGCTTCTGAAAAAGCGCCACATGGCTCAATGGACCTTACCTGTTAAAATTAAAACTAGAACTAGACGAGAAAGTATTTAATTTAGCGTTCAGAGTATTTGGCTGCTACTAATTTCCACGTTTTAGTTTAGTGATTGATATCTGACGCGGCCCTGGTCACCCTCCATCACCCACGTGTCCTAACTGGTGTGGTACACAGCTGAGTGGCGACTGTGATCCACCATAAATGTCGTGGCATGAGGAGGGGGACATTCATCCCGGCGTGGATTGACAACAAGTTTAAGGAGAATTGCTTATATTTAAGACGTACATATCATGAAAATGTTTAATCTGGTCTCAATGCAGACCATTCAAATACTGCAATTGGTCTAATTCCAGCGACTTTGAATAATTACGGCACAGAGCTATATCTGTAAAAAAAGGATATTGGAAATTAAATGTTATTTTATCATGTAAACATTGCACAAATTATCTCAGACATTACGATCTATAAACCAATTATTTTCTCTACCAATCTCCTCATAAAGTTCAGGTGAACAATCATAAATCAGGATATTAAATGTAGAGAACAATACTGTACAATAACTATGAAACTAGAAACTTTTTTTTATTTTACCAGATCAGGTCCACTGAGCCATAATATCTCTCTTTTAGAAATGGCCTGGCAACAAATGATAGCTCAACGAAGTGGCTTATCACGTGAAATTGTTTCGCAACCAAATACTCTAAACACGTTTCTAAATGCGGAGGGAAAAACCGGAGGACTTACAGAAAAATCCACGCGACCACGGGGAGAACACGCAAACTCCAAATATACAGCAGCAGGCGTCAGGGTCTAGATCGAACCCACGACCTCCTGCATACCAGGCGAGGAAGTTAACATCTCCTAGCCACCGTGATGATGACAGAGAGACATGCAAACTCCAAATATACAGCAGGCGTCAGGGTCGAGATCGAACCCACGACCTCCTGCATACCAGGCGAGGTAGTTAACATCTCACGGCTTATCACGTGATGTTTTTGTTCTCTCGTCTTCTTCCTCCTCCTCAAAAGGTGGAATTGAAATAAACGAGAGAATGCTTTAAAAAAATGTCATTGCGTGCAAGGGAGAATCAATGCGGTGGGCCATTTCCCTGTTCGCAAGGGTGCCAAACAACACATTCTGAAACTCGTCGTTAACCCTTTACCCAGAACCCAGGCCCATCGGATCACTTGGCGGTGTTCGAGCCGATACGATGAACTCATTGTGCGTCACCAGAGGACACACTTCCCAAAGCATCTTTTCGGCTTCACCTTCACTTCGTGCATATCGGTGCATTACACCAAAAAAATGCATAATGTCGTTTTCAACAAATTCATTATTTAAAAAACACACAGTTCTGAGTTCCCACTGCCTGGTGTCATTGCGACAGTAGTTTTATTCGGCTGTGGTGCGTGTGGGTGTGTGTGCAGTGTATAAACATCGGCACTGGGGAAGTGAAGATAGCCCAGGCGTTGTGCAGCCTTAATAGGTGCTCGCAAACAACCGTTTTCCCCCAACGTTTGTTCCAGGCTATATCGAGGGATATTTTGTCTTTGTGTGTTTGTTGAACTTCTTTCGCGTGGTGCGTAAGCCAACCGTGTGTATGTTTGGGGGGATAGCTGGCACGAGCGGTTAATGGACTATCCTGAGTTTCCCCCTTCGGCCAATTCAGTCTTAATTTTAGAACCTGGAGAGTAAACATCAGAACTTGGAGAGCAAACATCAGAACAACATGTGGCTGAGCACAGTCAGTGCCGGATTGTCCCAGTAGCAAAAGTAGCTGCAGATGCTACGGGCCCCGCACTTTCAAGGGCCCCGCGCTAAATGCTTTCAAGCCTAGATTTGAAGCTTTCGTGACTGCAAGGATTCATACTCTTAGGCTTTTTCGGTAAAGTCACGTAGGTAAAACAATCAATAAAATCTAATGTAGTTGTTTTCATTTATTTAAATTTATTGATTGCTTTACCTACGAGACTTTACCGAAAAAACCGAAGAGTATGCTTTCAAGCACCAATTCCTGGTTCAGTGATTCTGCACTCGCTCTATTACTATAGTACTATACCAGCCTTCAACTTTTATGAACGACTGGGTGTTTGAGGTTAGCGATTTGTCGTATTATCTGGCTGTATAGCAAATGAAAAAATACAATTACTTTACATTGCAAGTTACAAATGTGTGTTTTAATATTTACGTTTTTATTTATTTATTTAGGACCCCTTTATAACATATGTTACAGGCCCGCACTAGCTTAATCCGGCACTGAGTATAGTTACTATACTGCCCACCTTCTTTACTTACGTGCCATTCCGGCCTTAACCAGTGCCTCGCTGACGGGAAATTCCCCCAATACTCTGTGATACATGTGGGATCTTTGTTTATTTTTGTACAAAAAATGCTACTACCTCTCCCCGTTAAGAGATACATGTACCGGCAAGAGTTGCTCAATACTGGCAGCGTATAGATAAGTCGTGTCTTATTATTACACTGTCAAAATATTATTTCACTTCACAAGAAACGATACTTCCCCAGAAGTCGTCAGAGATCGGAGCACTGATTTTGGCACGAGAGCCGAGTTTGAATTTGAGTATCGGCCACCCGTGATTAAACCAGGTTCTGACGTGTCGTAAACTCGACGACGGGCGTTCAACTTGAGAAGCAAAATGAGTCCCGATTAACACGTAAGTAGGCTTTCGCGATCAATATTATCCATAAAAGAGGGGTTTTTTGGGGGGTTGGATCACACAAATATAAATATTTCGTTAAACCTTCCACCACCCGACACAGCCAATTAGTAAGGTTTGCCACGTAAACAAAGAGTGCCAATTCGTTCATGACACCGCTTGTGTGTTGGAGAGTAAACCCACAACGTTGACAATGAGTGCGATGTTTCGCTGCTGATTACAGCCAGCTTCAACAGGAGATTTGCCAGGCAAACCTTACTAATTACGTGATCTACCCCCCCCCCCCAAAAACCCTTTATTATAGAAAAGCAGTACAATAATGATCAATGTACCAAAACATTGCTACGAAAAAAATCCTTTCAATATCACGAGTTCATCTCTGTGAGAGGGCACGATTTGACCTGGAAATTGGGCAAAGACGTTTAATAGAAATACCTATAGGCAGATTTCATTCCTTGCAACAGCTATCTGTTTGGTTTTTGAACATCTTTTACACCTGTTGTATTGTCAGAAAGTTTAAAACCTATTCTTATTATTCATTCTCTGATACTGGAAAAAATGTCCCATGATTTAGCAGCTCACCCCGAGCTATGGATGCTCTGATACGGGCATTGTCTTTGTACTGTCCGCCTTTTTGGCGTTCTCTGGGCAACGGTGACACTAGGCCATAAAGAAGGCTGTCTTTGGCATAGACCAATCAGTTAAAAAATATAATCTATGTTTGTTTTCACGTTCACCAGAAGTACCATGCGTGGTTAACGCAGACTTGATTCCTTGCAAAAGGTTTCTATTTTGTGTTTGAACATCTCAGCACCCGTTGTATTGACAGAAAGCGTAAAGAGAGACCTACATTCGTCATCATTGGAACCTCATTTGCCAGTAGAAAAATATGATAATTGTTTTTTTACCCTTTTATCTGGCAATAAAAATGACACCTTTTTTTACAAGGAGTCATGTTTGCATAGACTACAATACCTGCAGTCATAATGCAAAAAAAAACATAACTCTGATAATGTGCACTGTCCTTGATGTTGATTGGTCCATACCCGAGACAGCTTTCCTTAGAGCCTAGTCTCCATGGGTTGGACCAGATGACGCCAAAAGTATGAGAGCTCGGGGAAAGCATTTACACCATTGGAACCTCATTTGCCAGTAGCAAAATATTATCATTGTTTTTTTACCCTTTTATCTGGCAACAAAACTGACACTTTTTTGTTTGCATTCCGACTGCAGGTATTGTGGTCAATACAAACATGACTCCTTGTAAAAAAGGTGTCAGTTTTGTTGCCAGATAAAAGGATTAAAAAAAAAACAATTATTATCATGGGACCTCCTTTGCCAGTACCAAAATATACTAATAGGGGTTTTCCCCTTTTTTCTGGCAACAAAACTGACACGTTTTGCAAGGAATCATGCTTACATTAACCACAATACCTGCAGTCAAATGCAAACAAACAATATCAGAGTATTGTTTTTAGTTTGCATTTGACTGCAAGTATTGTGGTCAATGCAAACATGACTCCTTGTAAAAAAGGTGTCAGTTTTGTTTGCCAGATAAAAGGATAAAACACCAATTATTGCATTCGTCCTCTTCCCCCGTCCGTCGCGCGAGGTCCCAACCTGGTTGGGGGCAGCGAAGAGGGCCAAATTGCCCTTCTTTTCTCTACCTTTGCACGTGGGTTCCGTCGGCGCAGGAATAATCGACAGCGGATTTCTTCGTACCAATGTCACCGGAACTTTTCGGCGTGGTACTGTATGCCAGGGCTCGCATTTTTGTTGTAATAAAAAAAATATGGAGAGAGACCTCTAACAATTTGGTGGCCACTGCTTCTCTGCCAGTGCACCGCACAGCAATAGGCATGTAGCGCACGCCAGATGGTGCGCAGCAGTGCACCAGTGTGGCAAGGCAAGGCGAGAGAGACTGGGGACTGCACGCCACTCATCACCCGTCCATTTCAGCGAACACATGACGACCGTGCGTGAACACAGCCATGGTACCCAAATGCATGGTCGAAGCCATTGTAAATAAAAATAAACACGAAGTAAAAAAAAAGACCTACACCTCTGGGTGATAAATGCTGAAATCAGTGTGTGCATCTTGACCCCGTGTTGATTTTTTAAGTGATCTCAGCATTTCTGTGTTTTTGCCATCGCTCACCTTGGCGTTGCGCATGGGACTGGGAGTTGTACTCCCTGACTGCTCCGTACGACATGGTGCCTGTTCACGGCGCTCCGAGATCCTCGCCCACGGCCCCGTCTCTCTCACGGACGTTCCAAACACGTCGCCGGCTCGTCCAATCGGCGGCCAAGCAGCAGGCAAAGCCTCGCTGGAGAAGGGCACACAGCACGGGATATATCAGCATGGGGCGTTAGCGGCTCCGGTATTAGTGATGGGGGTGTTCTTGGAACGTCAAAGCGATGGGTGCGATTTTTAAATCCTTTATATTAAGTTCGCTTGCTTGCGTGCTTGCTTACGACCGCGCAAACCTTTCGGTCGTTTTTTAACCCACTTCCCGTGATCCAATCGAGCTGACATTTTGCACACAGACTCGTTGTGCGTGACAATTAATTTTCGTGAATTTTTTTCCAAAATTTTACACTGTTTAGGGAATTTTTTAAAATATGTATTTACCAATTGGTTAATGCTGGTACACAATCATCTGACCCATAGGTGGCAGCCATCTCAAGCCAGAGGACGAGAGGACTCTAGCCGCCCCAATGCCACGCATATAAAGGATTTATAGTGAAAAACTTAGTTTTTACGGGTTAATTTTTACGATACCGTGACGTAGAAGATCCTGAGAAGGGCTTGATGCAGAGAGGTATGTATTCTAACGGTGGTGCAATGGTAGTGGTGGTGGTGGCATTAATTTGATGGTCATATTTGGTCACGGTGGTGTGTAATTCTGTTATATTTGGGCAGGATAGGAATGCATCTGGGACAATCTGGTGAAGTGTTGCTCTCATATTTGGCTCATTACTGGTTTGGTAAGGCGTGCTCCAAATTACGGTTTTCAGATGTTTAATCTAAGGCCATATTCGAGTGCAGTGCCCGTCAAAAACTTTGGGTACAAATGTTCGTATGTCAAGGTTAAAAAAACTAAAAGTAAAAAAAAAGTTACCTTCTGATTTTTGGGGAACCCAAAAAAAATGTTTTTCAGATGTACCTCGTAATTAACATTGATTCAACTATATTAATATGAAAATGTTTGCTTGAGCCCTACTATAATACTCTTGGAATTGACACCGGTCACTCTCTTAAAGCTGTCTGTGTTAGATGGCTTTGCGTGGCTTAGCACCTCACATTCACAAAGTTGTGAGTTCAAATCTCGGCCCACGTCATTTAAGTCAGTGGCCGCTTTGTGTGAAGTCCACACAGTGAGTGTTTTATGGTGAAACCAATGTCAAAAAGACAATGGGGAATTTGTGTGACGTTTACACAGTGTTTTATGGTGAGACCAATCTCAAAAAAAGAATGGGGAATTTCCACCACTGACTGAGGACGAGAAGTGACGGATAAGCACGGCTTCACATTCATTTGACTATGCTGACACACCAGCTTGTCCGACACGAGCATATCAGACAAAACATCGTCACCATTCATAAAAAAAATGTTATGTTCGTATTGTGAACTTCTTTCACACCGTCCGAGGCCAACCGTGCTAATAGGAGGTGCCTTATAAATGTACACGTACAGAATAGCAAGCGCTGAACGAATAAGCAGACAATATGCACCCACTTAACGTAAGAAAAGGAATGATTTTGTTTTACACATGCCTGTCAGTCACACGGAATAATTTCAGCAGCGTTGGTTAAACACATTCAAATCTCCGGACTTGACTTTCGACATTTCATTGTCGCGAGGATCAATGATATTGGTGTGCCCCCCTCCCCCCCCTACGTTAGTGTGGACAAGAGGAGTTCTCCTGTTTGCCGTGGCAGCATCTCTCCATACGTTACACACGCGTAGCTTTTAAAAAGTGAACATCGATCGCGAAACGTTGCCGTAGCTGGAGGGTTTATAGTAAAAAGTGTTCGACGAACTTCTTTCGACAGCGTACGTAGGCGACCGTGCGAACTCGGAGGTGCGGCAGAGGATGGACAATAAACTAAAACACAAATAAAGAATCTGCTCTAAAGAAGTGAGTTTTCAAACTAGATTTAAAAGTATTCTTTGGTTCTTTCGGTAAAGTCACATATAAAGATAAAATCATAATTAAATAATAGCATACTACGACGTTTAGATTGCAACACAAGCAATCATCATCAGGTATAAAAGAAATAGCAACAAAAAAATCTAACCAGAAAACTATAGACAGACATATAAGCAGACAGACATCATAAAGATACTGTGGTGCCACAGCGACGGGGCCGCTCTGCCGAGCCAGGGAGCCGCCCGGCTTCCCCCACCGCACTGCCCCCAATCACCCGCCCCACATAAGCACACACCCGCACGCATCCCCCCCCCCCCCCATAGAGCTGGAAGGGAAGGTTACCTGATCGACCGGTTTTTATCCGAGAGACCCTTATCGGGATTAATTCTCACGGTTTCCGGCGATCAGGGAATTGGATGACCTCCCCCGTGCTACGTGGTACCGCGGCGCTGCTGCCGGCCTTAATATGGTGTGGTCGCGGCGTGGGGCATTCGGCCACCGCGGTTGAGGCGCATTTCCCCCCACACACACCCCCACGAGTCGACGGGGCAAGCAGGGGAGGCACGGGACAGCATGAATAGCGGGGTCACAGGGGCTGTTGCGCATAGTCATGGAGGGTTGGGATAATTGCGCTTGAGCGCGCAAGCCCCATTGGTAGGAAGGGTAAGGGAGTAATTAGGATTTACGCCTTGCACGCAGCACACTGATTAGCATATCAACAGCGCCTGGGGACTGCCGTGCGCGGGCTTGGGGTGCACGAGCCCATTGTTCAGCGCAGCATCCCCTTTGGGAGGTAGGGAGGATAAATAGAGGAGCGCAGAGGGGAAATCGCTCTCTTACTCCAGCGCCAGGCGACCAGACGCAGCTCGAGCCAGCGACCCGGACGTCCGTGCGACGCACCGAGGCACGCGGTTAACACAAGGATCAGCGGACCGCCGTGGACACTTAACAGTGAGTAAGAAGGGGAATTAGAATCATAGCCGATAAATAGGGAATAGGTACAGGTTTAGTGGAATAGGCCAGCCTCGTCGACTCACTGATTCAACATCAATTCGCAGGTGGCATATAATAAATCATTAATAGCGAAGCGTGGTCTCGCGTGATCTTGTCGTGCAGTGTGAGCGTGTGGGTGCGCTGTGTGCACAGTGGTTCGCCACGTGAGTGAGCGCTGCGCGGAGCTGAGCGCGCGGGTTGCGTGTGGGAACGCGTGTGGTACTGTGTGTGCGTAAGCTCGCGGCGTGCGTAATCGGCGTACCCCAGGTGCGCGATTGTAACGTGAGCGGCCAGCGCGGCGCAGAGAAGCGCAAGAGTGAGTGCCGTACAGAGCTGTGTGTGTGGGTGTGCGCGTACGTAATTAACCATGCCTGCTACGCGGACCCGCGGTGGAGTGGAACCCTCGGGCGACGGCTCCCACACCATGGGTGAGGAACTTAGCAGCGGTTCGCTTAGCAGCGGGGGGGCGATTGATGATGCTAGCCCGGCCGTTAGCATTATCGAGGGAGGGATTTCGGGGGCTAGCGACCCCCACAAATTGGTGTCAGAAGCGGTACGGACCCCCGCGTTACCTCACGCTAAAATAAGACTAATATTTACCGGCCGGGGGGCCCCTTCGTGGAAGGCATTCGCCCGCAATCTCTTAGGGGCCAAGGAAATTAATGGATGGACGGACGCGCAGGCAGTACGTCAACTTAATATGAATCTTGATGGGCGGGCAGCCGATTTTGTAGAAGCGTTACCCGCGAGCGCACAGACACAGCTAGAGGAGCTGATGCGCCGACTCGATCAGCGTTTCGGCACGCGTGACGAGGAGGAAGCAAAATCGGCCTTAGAGGCGCGCCGGCGCCAACCTGGCGAAGATCTACGTGATTACGCCGAGGATGTGCGTGAGTTAACAAAGATCGCACGCCCGGGGTACGCAACTGATGTTATTGAGGAACTGGCCGCCGAGAAAATCCAGCGGTACCTGTCTCGCACGGCGTGGTGGCAGCCAGACATGAGCTGCCCACGTCTTCCGTTTAACACCCTTGTCGAGCGCGCACGTAAGTGTGAAAGAATTCACAGTGAACGCGCGCAGCTCCGGGGGCTGGGACGAGAGCGCGCCATTGCGAGCCTGCTCTCGGAAGACGAGGAGGAGGGACAGGAGCTCGCGAGGACGGTAAGGGGCCGGGAAAGAGAGCCACAGAGACCCAACGAGACGACCCCGGGGTGGGTAGCCGGGTTACAGGCCGGCATGGGAGATATGATAACCCAAGTAGGTGAAAGGGTAACCCAGGTACGCGAGGAAGCAAATAAAATATGACCAAACTGCAATCCTCCGTTGAGACCATCCGATCCGAAATGGGGGACCTACGCGCCACGGTGGGAGGGTTATCTGGGAGGGTAGCCCGACTAGAGGCGGAGGGTGGACAGCGGCGTAATGGGGGGGGAGGGAGCGGACAGGGGACCCGCTACGGAACCGCCCCCCCTCCCCGGGCATGTTATATGTGCGATCGCCGAGGGCATCTAGTGAGGGACTGTCCTGAAATCACCCGAGCGAGACAGACGCGGGGGTTAAACTCCAACGCCCCCTAGAGAGCGGACCAACTAGGGGTGCAATCGACGCGGTCCCGATACAAATGGACGATAATGAGAATAATGGCGAGCGAGTGATCTCCACACAGGTTCCAGCAACAACGCCCACAGAAACGGTGACTCCTGGCGACTGGCTACGGGAGCTGGTGGCGGGGATCACGGGGGCCACGTCGCTGGTGGAAGGGGAGGTTAACGGAGTGCGTACCCGAATCCTGCTGGACACGGGGGCGGTGGCCTCGCTCGTGAGCGCAGCGCACTGCAGCGCGATCGGGGTCGACGTGCGTCACCTGCAGGCACCGGACCGCGCGCTGCACACTGCGAGCGGAGCCGGAATGGGGCTGCTGGGGAGAGCCACCCTAGAGGTCCGCATAGGCAGTCAGGTGTGCACCCAGGAGTTCTACGTGTCGAGTGCGTTGTGTCACGAGTGTATCGCAGGTACCGACCTCTTAGAACGGCTGGGACTCAACGTGCAACCCCGCCAGCGATGCGCCACCATGGAGAGCAACGGCGAGCGGATACCGTTCCTGGGACGAGAACCGACGCGCCGCCGCTTTGCACCTGTGGCCGCTATCCTGACGACGGCAGTCACCATCGGCCCGCTC